CACATAAACATAATAAACAATTGTTATCATCAATTAATTCACGCTTTTCCAAACATAATTGGTGACACTGTAATACACGCAAATCAACATGAATTGAAGTGTCGACGAAACAAACTTTCGACGAAATGGGTGTCGACGAAATGACTGTCGACGAAATGGTTGTCGATGAAATGAATCAGACCCCATAATACCTTGTCTATTATCTGTCATTTTATTTTTCTTTTATCGAATAAAAATTTTTTTTTACATTAGAAAGAATTGCATATTCACAAAAAAAGGTAATAATAATAATCCTAACTGTGTATAATATGATATGATCCAAAGATAAGATTGAGTGCAATCTTTAATCTAAGGATCTCTATACCATACATATTCCCCACTTTTGGGCGAACCGCAGACCCTATTATGACAAAGTCACTCAACCGCAGTTGCAGGGTGTAGTTGGGCTCCACCAACATTATGACAAATGCGTGTCGTAAAAGAATCCATACTCATGACACTCTTCTTCCCATCCAGAAAAATCTGTTTATGAGACCTCAGTCCTGAGCGTAGCAAGTGTCACTCTGTTGGCAGACATGAAAGAAAAAAAACTGACCTGAAGACTTTTACGAATAAAAATTGCATTCGCATATTTTTTACTTTTACTTGGAAACCTCTTTAAAAGTGAGTCGAGCTTGCTTGAAAGTGCAGAATGAGAGCTTTGTGTTGTGCTGTCAGGCACTTTGTTTATATAAAATACATTCCAACTTTGCACATCACCCCATAAATCAGGACCTCTATCCCAATAATCTAACAAAAAATAAAGCGAGTCTTTGATAAATCATAAACATAAATATCAGCTAATGAATTAAATATATTTGATATATAGAGTAGAGTTCACAGAACAAGAGAATTATAGTGGACAGCGAATTTCTTTTGGTAAACGTGTCGGAATTTCCTAATTATTTTCAGATAAAGATCCACAATTAATGACTCCAGATTTATTTTTTAAACTAATTAATTGATTAATATCAAATACAAGGTTGTATATTGTAAAAGCAAAAATTATTTATCATTACAGTACTCATTAATACAATAAAATACATAAAGCAGATTTAACATCGCGAATTGTGACAACGTGGAAATTTAGCGCATGAATGAATCATAAATAATGAATTTTAAATTCCAACAATAAAAAAAAGTTAATATTCTTCTTCAGGAATACTTGTCAATATAGAGTATTGGTAAATCATCTTTTACTTCCTTCCATCAAATAAGTGGATTAATATTGCCAGTTATATCAGCCATATTTAAATATTTTGCTAATTCATCCTCATTTTCTGTGAACAAATCATCCTGTTTAATAAAAATTGCTTTCTCACTATTCCTTAAATATGTACAATATGTACATGTCCTGGATGGAGGTGTAATTGTACTGTCTTGCAAATTCTATGAATAGTGTGTCAAGCAAGCGTCAGTCTGAACTTTATGGAGGAAGTGTTAAAATTCTGTCCGAATTTGTACAGAAATTTGTTTGAAAAAATAAAATCTGTGATATTGGTTTGTTGAATAGAGATTACCAAAGATTATACAAAAACGGGGTTTTCCAGTTATATCACAGTGTCTACTCATACTCCAGAACCTAGCATCTTAGACTGCCAGATGGTTTAATTAATGACTTTATTTTATATTTATTTATCTATCTATCTACATTCAATAACTTGAAAATAAATAAATAATAGAACATTATTTAGAACTTAATTTTTATTTGGAGAATTGTTTTTCAGTTACACCTTTACCCATAGCAGATGTGGAAGAAACACCACCTTGTACAATTTTCACTATTAATAAAAAAAAATTATTTAATTATTTTGAGTTTTTAATCATAATAATAATGATAATGATGATGATGATGATGATGATGATAGTAAAATAATAAAAGAAACTTACTAAGTGAATCAACATAATTTGCTCCAGACCAAGTTTGATGTTGTAATGTTTCAACACCATTTACACGTTCTTGACGTTGAATATCTTGAACATATGCCAACATACCTATCTCAGCATATTTACGTGCAAATAAATCTGCATTTATAATAATCAATTGGTTGGTTAAAAAAATTTTTTTTAAAAAAATAGTTTATCTATTTATTAAAATCATAATCAAGAGCTACTTACCAATACCCAATGCATTAGAATGGAAACCACCTAATGTAATAAATTGCCATACAAAACCAAGTTTACCAAGATCAGATATAAAACTACGAATTTGTTGATCAGTCATTCCAGCAGCATCCCCTAAAAACAAATCAAACAAAATAAATAAATAATAAATAAATAATAATGATAATAATAATAATATTTAGATGATTTTTTAACTTACAATTGAAGGAAGGACTGAGATTATATGCTAACATTTTTTTAGGATAAACTTTGTGAACTCCTTCTGAGAATTCTTTCGCCTGTGCATAAATAGGTTTAGCAGTTTCCATCCAAAGCAAATCACAATATGGAGCAAATGCAACAGCACGATTGATTGCACACTTGGTACCACCTTGGTATCTATACAATCCTTCACGAGTTCTTGGAGCATCCCAGTCCCAAAATACCTCAACACCTAATGATCTTGCCAATTTCGCAGCATCATAATGTGAAAGTCCTTGACTTTGTGAAGTCCACTTTTGAATCGTGGAATTTTTATTATTAATATTGGATGATTTATTAATAGCATCAATCACAGCATCATTGTAAAGCTTGATGTTTGAATCTTTAATCCATTTTTCTTCTGTTGCAGCAAGCTTCTGACCAGTCAAACCTTTTAATTCAGCTTCTTTCATGACTTCTATAAGAGGACGAAGATTAGGATTAGTTGATCCAAGAATAAAAGCATGATCACGTGAGTCTATATTTGATGTGATAAGAGTTGCAGCTTCAGAATCGGTACGGGATACAATTAAATTTTCAACATTCATTATATCGAATTGAACACGAATTGATATTAGACGATTAATATGTTCAGAGATCGGGACCAAAACTTTTCCACCCATATGACCACATTTTTTAAAAAGTGGACTTTGATCTTCTATGTGAACTATTATTATTGAAAGTCAAATATAAAATAAAATAAATAAACATAAATTAATTTTAATATCAAAGTTAAATATAAATAAATAAATATGTTAAAATTTAAACTTACTGCCAGCTGCACCACGTTCAACAAACATTTTTGCAAGTTTTAATATAGCGGTAGTACCGCCATGGCCAGTATCAGCATCAGCAATTATTGGACGCAAATAATCTACAAAAGGAACTTTTACTCTTTCTGCTTTGGGAAGGCTTAATCTAGCTTCCCGTTGTTTTCTATCATGAAATCGTTGGGCCATAAACAAATGCTCGACTTTGTTTGGAACAGTGTCCATAGGATAATCAGCTAGATCAGGACCAGGTTCATTTGAAGTGGAGGCAGTTGAGGAGCATTGCCAACCAGAAACATAAACGGTCTCAAGGTATTTTGCCATCTGAGCCACTTGAACAGGATCCAATGCGCCAAAAGTATGGGTGGCAGTTTTATTTTTTTGATGAGAATTCAATAAACACCATAATTTCTTTGCTTGAGTATCAGAAGGGTATTGTTGTCTAAGTAGACCTCTTTTTGAAACTATTTCTTTAGCACTATATGGACGTTTTACGTGAGCAAAACGTTCACTTTTCCACCATCTTTCAACCTCCGAAGCTTCATATTCAAAAGCGGCTTGTTCTTGATCAACGAAATTAGCTAAAGTCATTATTATTATCGTAATTAAATAAGTTTATTAATATATTTATTTATAATTTACAAATGTAGGTTGTAAAAAAAAAAAAAATCTGATTTTACAATATAATCATTTCTAAATTTGTATATAATTTTGATCTACACAATAATTTCGAAAAGATCCCTCCAAGATGAACATCAAAAAAGTGAATTGGTTTTTTCATGGACTCGTGTAACATTTCGGAAAGGATTAGTTTAAATTTTCCAAAAAAGTAAATTACTATATTATTATTATTCAGTTGCTACCCATTACTATTTATTATTACTAATAATTTATTATTACTAATAATATGGCGCCTTTACAGATGCGCAGGACGTACGCTAACCAATTTGAAAAATATATGCAGGCTTTTGTATGGCTCTCTCGACACGATTATTTCCTTACTATTTATTTATAGAGATTATCAACAAACATAAAAAATACACATGTCAAAAATGACCGTAGATCATTTTTTAACTTTGCAACAAAAACTAGTAAGGAAACCTGTTTTGATGCCCCAAATAAAATTTTCTAGAAATATAATCATGTTAAATTTGTTTTGAATTTGGTTATTAAGATTGCTTTATTCTATTTTGATCAGTTCCCAATACACATAATAAAGGCATATCAAAAAAAGTTTACCCCAAATTGGTTGGAAATTGGCAAAGTTGCATGCATTACAAAAAATTCAATCATTGAAAAGGAACAGAGGAGAATTTTTTGATACATCAAAAACAGAATAGAATAATCGTCTAATTTAAATAGATAGATAGTATGTCATGTAGAGCCATAAAAAATAAAGGGTATCCCACTAGGTATTAATGTATGCAATTTTGCCAATTTCTTGAAAAAAATCTTTTAATAACCAAATTCAAACAACCTGTAAATTTTTTTTCTAAGAAAGTCAAAGCCACACTATAAAAATTATATCAGAGATCAGGAGATTTTGTCAAGCCAATTTTTTTTGTATTTTCTGAAAATTTTACTTAGGGCATCTCAAACAGGTTTTTTATATACTAGTTTTCGAGTATTTTTAAAAAACGATTTACATAGTGTTCAGTCATTTTTGGCAGGCAAGTAGACACAATGATTTTTAATTTAGGCGAAATTTTAAACCCCTATTTAGAATTAGGACGATTATTTTGTGGTTGTGAAGAATTATATTTAATTAGTCCAACTACTCTCTTAAGTGGAACACGAAATGACACCAACTCCTCTTGCAATTGTTGAACATTGGTGATTTCTGTGATGTTATATGCTAAATTTGCTTCTTTTCGAACATTCTCTAAACATCGAATCCACTTTTGGTAAATGTTTGTACAGAGTACAAAACTTAATTTTTCCAAAGTCTTAAATGTATAAAGCACAAATACAAAAAATAATGAGATTTAAAAAATAGATTTTTCAATACATTATAAAAGATTTATTGTACAGATCGAGATTTTTTCATTGTACAAAACTCCAAAAATCGTGTTTGTTATTATTATTATTATTATACAAAAATTATGTACGGAATTTTTAGTTAATTTTCCATAAAAGCGGATTTCAAATCCGAACCTTTATTATCTATCAACTTTGTGGCCAGGGTTCCTATCTATAGATTTGTGTTTGATAAAGTATTTGGCACTTGGCTTTTGTTTATAAGTTCTTCAATTTCAGAATTATAAATATTGTAGAGTTATCATTACTTGAGTTATTATTATTATTTGTCATGGTTACAGTATATAATATAATAATAATTCTTGAATTTTCAAGGAAAAAAATAATGTTAACACCAAAGAGTCAAATGATATAAATAATAATAATAACGTAAAAAAGTTTGATTTAGTTGCATCAATCCCTGAATAAAAGATTTAACATTTTTACCACTACCACTGTTTTCTTCGCCATCTCTTATCACTTTTGCCTCCCACATTTCCATCATCATCAATGATTATAATATCCATATTATCATTTTAACTTGCAATTAAAATAAATATACACTAATCCAAAGTACATTCAAGTGCCAATTTGTTTATTTTTCCATCATGTATAAAAAAAAAAGTGGCTCAGAAGCAAGCTGATGATGTGGGAGCTGATTCTACTTGGTTTAACAAAACGAGGCCAAATTTTTGATTTTGTCATTTCTTAAAAATGCTATCGATAATATATAATTTCGTGAATAGAATTATGTATGGGATCCCTGACATTTTTAGGAAATAAACTATGGTTGGCTCGGTCTAAAGACCTCCTATTACAGCGCCATACGGCCAAGTTAAATTATTTCTTACTGCCCAAACTTAAATATGATAGTCATGAGCTAGTCTAGATTTCATAATGATCTAGGGGAAAATTTATGCAAATTTAGAGGTCTTTAAGTTATTTTCCGTGTAACAGAGGATAAATAGAATAACTCTAATACTTATTTACATTCTTCAATGAACATATATATCCACCTTCAAAAATCTAATTATAAGCTTATAAGTTTGTTTATAAGTATTGTCATTTTTTTAAAACATTTGATCCTCGTGAAAGTAATTTTTTACAGGATTTTTGTAATAAATAAAACACTTTGTGCAGGTCGTGGTGGAGCTACAATTGAAAATGGTATTGCGACGGTGGAAAACAAAACACATGGTGTTCATTCTATAACGAATATAAATATGAAAAAATTATGTCATTGGAATATTTTTGGATACCTTGGATCATCATCCTCTGTATGCAAGCCTGATCTTCTCAAAAAATCAGAGCGCCCAACAGGATTAGAACTCGATTATTATTATTATCCAGAATTACCACATGAAGAACATATTATTATATAATTCTTTCACAAAGACGATCCTGATTGTTTTATTAAAGAATTATGCGAAGAGAATTGGATTGTCTTGAGAGAAGTTAGTTTGGTATTACAAAGACCATTATATTCCAGGACATCTCTTATTGAATAAAATTAAGACTTTAAAATGCTTTAATGATTCATTAATCAGATGATTTATTTATTTATTTTGCAAAACAAGCAACATAAAATACATTATGTCATTCCATTTGTTATATTGATTTCAAATTTTATGGTATTCATTTTTTTATGTTTCAATTAAAGACTAGTGCCGTAATCCAAAAAAGGAAAAGGTATGGTGCAAAAGTGGTCGCAAAGGTAATTGCAACCACTTTTTATATGCTGTAAATACGATTACTACCATCGTCATAATTTACAGCACTAGTCTTTAGCTTCAATATCTGTGACTTAATATCTATATATATGATAATCATATAAAACTCGCAACTCTATCAGCCTCAGTATTTGGTTTCACTTTTTTTGTACCAGTTCTCTCGTCATCTGCTGAAAGATCCCGCTTCAATAATAGTGTATGCGCTTTGTGATATTGATTGTAATGATCATTGATACGATAATACCCGTTCATAATCACAGAGTTCTAGAATATTACGGTGAATTAATTTCACATACTAGTACAGCCAAATATAACAAAAATCGAAAAAAGCTAACCTTCGCTATTTCTTTTTTTTTTCTGTCATCTTTTGTTTAGTTGTAACTTTTGTTGCTTTTCCTCTACGAACCAGGATTGGCAAACGTGTGATCCATTGATGGTCCATTGGGTCCATTAATGTAACACTTTAACCATATTTAGTATTTTATTAATGGCAATGGACCAATCCAAAATCCATCTGTTCTCAATGGACCAGTCAATTTGCCAACCCTGCTACGAACCCTTTGTAATTTCTGCTGATCCTAAAAAGTAATTTGATTAATGTCAAAGAATAAAATAGCCTGAAGGGTATCACTTTAGTGAAGCCAGGGTCGCACCCTACGCTTCGTGCACGCAGCACGGATATTGTCTCCCCCAGAAAGTATACCCAGCCGAAAATCTGCCAGATTCGACCTAACAGGCCTATCCGTAAAGCACGCAGCTCGGCATAGATAATCAGTCTTCGAGCTACTTTATTATATCTTCAGACATTAAGTAAAATATTATTAATAATATTTACCTTCAGTTGATCTTCCATTATTGTGAGCTTTAATTGTGCTGGGTGGTCTTTTGGGAGCAAAGTTCTTAGAGAATCTATTTCTCTTTTATATGTAAAGTGTATTTGTTCTTTGCCAATATCATAGAAGTGGGCCGAGAAATTTTGAGATCTGGCCATTCATTATAATCTCGGTTCCACATATCTAATAATGATGTCATATATGTTCACTGACAAGTCAAAGCAAGAATGTTCTTATTAACAAATATTTGCAAAACCTTTACCATATTGATATATTAGAATAAAGTGTTCTTACTTTGTTCTTCGTCATAGAGTACCTTAATTAAAAGTGCTATTGCGCCAGCTGGCCCACCCATAAGGTTATACGGAAGAGCTATAAGTTTTTCTTCTGTCAAATTAAGAAAACTTTTCCGGCAACTTTGTTTCTCTTCATCTTGTTTAGATCTTAAATATTCAGGAACATCCACTCGCTTCCATTTCTTAATGTTCTCGATTGTCAGATTAGTATTAGTAGCAACAGTTATAATGTAAAAAAAAACAAAAATACTGCGACACGTACAAATTTACATATTAATTTTAATAATCAGAATTTCATCACCCATAAATTCCAAAGTCATGTGCCCACTAATTTATCATTGGTTAACGCGAATATTTTTTTAAAATCCACAGAACACCACAATCGTTTATCAATATTCCAAGGCGACAGATTTGGGCTACTCTTGTCAGTTGATTAAATTGCAAGCGAATCACAATAATTCGGTGCTTGTCAATTAATTAATTTACCCGATTTACTTTGGTTCTCGCTTATTGCCTCTTTCTTGTATCTAGAAAGTTTTGGCGAATCTGTAAGCGCACTAAATAAAAAGATGACTCTTTTACACAAAGCTCAAAGGTTTTTATAAAGTCACTTTTATTCATTTGTGGCTGTGCCCAATTTTATTTGGTTTATTTACAAACAACTCAAGTAGCTTGCTTAACAGCCCTATGTTTGTAATAACTATCAGTATTTCCAATCAATTTTTGGACAATAATACTTCATTAACAGTTGTTACCATTCAATTTAAACCAAAAACAAAATAACGTTTTTGTTTTTTAAAAGTTTATTTACAAATTTTAATGATTTATTTTAAAAAGGTAATGATTTTACAGAATCTAGGGAATCCAAAATAAAAAATTGATTTTCAATAATAATAACGATTTTATCTCCTCTATCTCTTCCTCACAATATAAATCTTATGTATGAACGTGAAGGAGAAATGTCAATTGACGAATGTAGATGCTCTTCTCAATAGAATTCTCAGGGTTAAAGCATTACTTTACTTAAAAATTGCACAGTCGTTCAATAGGGGCGCATATCCAATTATTACATATGTATATGTATTTGATAGTTGAATTTAACAAGTCTAGGGATGGCTAAAATTAGATCCAATTAAGATAAAAAAAGATGGTTAAATTAATCATAACTTTATATAGTACCAAAGATAAGACTGGATAATAACAAATCATAGTTGTTTGATTATAATTTCCTATTTTATTATAGAATTAGAATTAACATTAACAATTGACAAAAGTAAATATTTTTATTATACAGCTTTCCTTTATGATGCCTTTAACAAAGAATCATTTGGTATATAGATAAGGATTACCTTAAAACTTTAACCCAAAATTATTATTGTTAAAAAAAAAATTAGGCTTTACCTACTTTAAACAGCAATTTATCCATTCTCGTCATCTATTACCATAATTCGTAAATAGATGTATTTGCAATTGGATGCATGCATTTGAAACGAAAACCTTAAGAAATCAAACATTTTATTTTTTTTCGGTAAATGCAAAGAATAATTAATTTATGAAAATTTTTTGGGGTTGAACAATTATAATTGAGTAATTATATGAATTTCAGTAAATTATTAATAAAGGACAATTATTAAAGTTTACATTAATTCGTTCTTCCGCTACACACAAAAAGAAAAAAGAATTCTTTGAAAATTGCTCTTTATGATGAACGTGAAATGATAATAATAAATTAAGTATAGTTTAAGTCATCTATTTCTTAACCTATCTTATTATTTACATATTAAAATAACAAAAATATCAAACGTTTGGCATTTTGACAATCACATGATTTTTATTGAATATTGCAATATTAATATAATTCGAATTAAGATTGAATTGCATTACGAATAATATTAATATTAATATTAATAATAGTAATAGCATATTAAGATATTGTATTACAAATAATATTAATATTAAGATCGAATCGAGATTGAATTGTAATGACATTTTATTTTATAATAGTAAATTTGTGTTCATATTATATTATGAAACTCGTATTTTTTTTCATGAATAATACGAGTACGAATACTATCACACTGTAAATATTTCCCCGGTTCTGGGTTCTATGGAACTACATTGACGTTTTTAATTTATTTTTGAAACAAGTAAAAAAAGGGTTATATTATATAAACAAAATTTATAAGCTTAATATTGGTATTGTTACAATTAACTATTGTTTGTAAATTCTTATAAATATGCAATCTTTCTTCGTCTCAAAAATTTTTTTCCAACACAAAAAACCAAAACAAAAATAAAACAAATATCTCTTGAAGAGTAAAAAATAAAAAAAAATCAACTTTTTAAATTTAAAAAACCAAATTTTACGAATCTACAAAAATGAAATCAACTCAAGCCATCGCTCAAACTATTGTCAGCTCAGCCACCATTTCAAAAGGTACCACTGAAAAACCTGAACATGCTACAAACTATTG